AGAGAGAGAGAGAGGGAGAGGGAGGAGGCTTCGTCTGTCTGTCGGTGCTGAGTCGCCACGTTTTCTCTGAAGCAAAATTTGTCTTGATATTGGTAATTATATTAGTCTCGATCATTTCTGTTTGATTGTCGACGGAAACGTTGCAGAGTTACGACGTAGAGAATGATTAATCCTAGTGACTTTCCTCGTGATGTGCGCGTAAGCAGATTACGTGGACGCTTCACGAGGAATCGGTCAACGCCAAGACGAGCATCGAGAATAATTCCGTCTCTAAACGACGGGGAACCAGAGCGCCACCTATGCATCATCGCTCGTTACTGACTCCATCACTGTTCGCTTGTTTCAGCTCGCGCTACTCAGCTCTCAGTGCGCCACCTACACGTTGTACATTGCTCGTTACTGTTCGCTTGTTTCAGCTCGCGCTACTCAGCTCTCAGTGCGCCACCTACACTCTGTACATCGCTCGTTACTGTTCGCTTGTTTCAGCTCGCGCTACTCAGCTCTCAGTGCGCCACCTACACGCTGTACATCGCTCGTTACTGTTCGCTTGTTTCAGCTCGCGCTACTCAGCTCTCAGTGCGCCACGCTGTACATCGTTCGTTACTGCTCGCTTGTTTCAGCTCGCGCTACTCAGCTCTCAGTGCGCCACCTACACGCTGTACATCGCTCGTTACTGTTCGCTTGTTTCAGCTCGCGCTACTCAGCTCTCAGTGCGCCACCTACACGCTGTCGTCTGCGAGCGCGAGAGAGGTGTCGTCCTCGTCGATGTCTAGCGATGACAAATCGCAGCAGTACTGGGCGAAGGGGACGGGTTTCGGCACCGGCTCCACCGTGTCTGGCTGGGACGTCGAACAGTCGCTGTCCAGACAGAAGTGTGAGGAGGAGCATGTCACAGAGCTGCTGCTGGTACGTTAACATGTTATAGTACGATCACACACGCACGCACACACACGCGTCTAACACTAATATAACAGTCACTGTCCAGACAGAAGTGTGAGGAGGAGCATGTCACAGAGCTGCTGCTGTACGTTACATGTTATAGTACGATCACACACACACACGCGCACACGCGCGCGTCTAACACTAATATAACAGTCGCTGTCCGACGCGCAAAGTGTGAGAGGAGCATGGTCACAGAGCTGCTGCTGGTACGTTAACATGTTATAGTACGATCACACACACACACGCGCACACGCGCGCGTCTAACACTAATATAACAGTCACTGTCCAGACAGAAGTGTGAGGAGGAGCATGTCACAGAGCTGCTGCTGGTACGTTAACATGCGCATCTAACATATATATACCCATATATACGCGGATACGCACACCCATAGTACGTTCACACGCATCATCATTATCATTATCATTATCATCGTCATCATGATCATCGTCATAATCATCGTCATAATCATCGTCATCATCGTCGTTAGATGCAGTAATTACGTGATGAATGTGTTCATCCATCATCATCATCGTTGCTAGGCCTCATCGCTTGCTACATAGCTATGGGACGCGGCGAGGACCCCGCAGCAGCTAAAGCAGCAGCAACAACAGCAGCAGCAGCAGCAGCAGCATCATCATCATCATCGTTATCGTTATCATTGTCGTTAGATGCAGTAATTACGTGACGAGTGTGTCTCATCGTCATCGTTACCGTTGCTAGGTCATCGCTAGCTACATCAACCCGACGGGATGCGGCGCGGACCACCAGCAGCAGCAGCCGGCGAGCGAGGGCAACGATCGTCGCCATGACGACGACGACGACGACGATGGTGATGATGACCTGTGGTCGTACAGGGATGGTCAGCTTCCTCCGTCGCTGCCGCAGCTGCTAGAGGAGTCGTGTCTCATACCTGCCGTCTCATCTTATCTCAGGAACGATTCAGGTATCACGTCGCGTGCATATAGTAACTATTATATTATATTATATTATATTAATTATATTAACGAATATAATATATACTATAATTATTATTATTTATATAATTATTAGCTCAGCTGACGAAGTCAGAATGCAGCCTTGTAGAATCGCCATGATTGACCGTGCGTCCGTCCGTGCGTGCGTGCGTCCGTCAACAGTTGGGCACAAATCTTAACCGCTCGACGTACGGTCACGATATTCGGACGTCGGTGGACGGGGATCGTGAAAAGGACTCGGGATGTAGAATTTGGGGGGGTCAAGGGTCTAAGGTCAAGCTGTGTCAATGGAGGGCGGATATTTCCCCCTTACGTAAGGTATAGGAGGAATACGGAATTGCGGCACAAATCTCAACGGCTTGACCTACGCTCTTAATATACGATGTATAGTGTGATGGCGGAGGAAACCAATCACCGGTGCGAAATTGGAGGTCACAGGTCAATAGCGGGCAATGGGGAAAGGTCAGATATCAGACATTTTCTGAGACTATGGTCTAACGGACCGAGTGCAAAACTTTTTTGTTCAGCCGTGACCCTACCATTGTTATACTTTATTGAAAGGACCATGAAATGTGCTTTCCGTTGACGTGCGAAGAGTAAGTGTGCTGATAACTTTAGAACCTCAAGAGGAGGGGTAAACACGGATTGTTGACTGTTAACAAAGGACTGAATGCTTTTGCTATTAGAGCCTCCCCCTCTCCCACCCTCCCCACCACCACCACTACGATCGCTCTCGCCGCCGCATATCCATGATAACATCTTAATATAGTGAAGTCATTAAAGTACATTAATTCAAGTCATAAAGGTGTATCTTTATTACTGTACTAGTGGATACCCGGCGTTGCCCGGGAATCAGTGGCGTTACTCAGTTGGTGACCAGTTGTTGAAAGGAAAATTACCCCAAGAAATCTATCTATCTAGAAATCATATCTCTCTCTACCCCTCCCCCCTCCCTCCTCCCTTCCCCTCTCGTACTCTTTTCTCCCTCCCTCTCCCCTCTCTCTCTAAACCCTCGCCCCTCTCCCTCTTCTCCCTCTCTCTTCTCNTCTCTCTATCCTCCCCCTTCCCCTCCTCTCTCTACCTCACCTGACAGCTTCCTCTTATGTTACAGTGCTGGATATTGCCAGGCACGTGCCTCTCTACCACGCCGTGTTGACGGTGGTGAAGAGTCTGGCTGTGTGTCCTCCCCTCGTGCATCTGCTGCTACCGCTGACGTCGCTAGGAGAGAAGGAAGCCGAGGCCTCCTCCTCCATCACCAGTCTCATGAGCAAGATGAAGTCGTGTGTGGACACCTACGTCAGTCGACTCAAGTGAGTACTCGGTCCCCCTGCCCAGCCCCGCTGGCTCCCCCGTGTAGCTTCCCGGTCCCCCTGCCCAGCCTCGCTGCTTCCCCGTGTAGCTTCCCGTTCCCCCTGCCCAGCCTCGCTGCTCCCCCGTGTAGCTTCCTGGTCCCCCTGCCCAGCCTCGCTGCCTGCCTCGTGTAGCTTCCCATTCCCCACGCCCAGCCCTGCTGGCTCCCCCGTGTAGCTTCCCGTTCCCCCTGCCCAGCCTCGCGCCTCTCCGTGTAGCTTCCCGTTCCCCCCGCCCAGCCCCGCTGGCTTCCCCATGTAGCTTCCCGTTTTCCCCGCTGTCTTCCCCTTGTAGCTTCCCGGTCCCCCCGCTGGTTCTCGCGTCTGACGCGCGGCTGCATTGTTGCTGCTGCTGTGGTTGCAGGCTGAACAAGTGTAAGGGCAAGGCACTGAGTAAGGACCAGCAAGAGGAGAGCGAGGGTCTCGCCAAACTCATCCCGGACATCGAGGAGACGAGTCGGCTCGTAGAGGGCGCCACGCGCGCGCTGAAGCGCTCGCGAGAGGGCGCCGGCGGCAGCTCGGACGCCGGCAGTGAGAGGGCGCCGGTGAGCCCCGGTCTGGCGGACAACAATAGCGACGACGGCTACTGCAGAATCATGCGAGAGATACAGTTCGGTACGTGTAGCGGCGACGGCGCGTCGTGTAGCGGTGGGGGGCGTGGTGCGTACCTACGTACGCTGCATGGCCATGCAATGCTGGGCTAATATCTGTAGCATGCATCGTGGCACGTTGGCCATGACAATTGCATGATGATATCTCGTCTTAGCAAGCGGTACCATTTATTCATATCACAGACAAATAAATAAAACTTAGATCATAAATAAATAATAGTAATGATAGTAATAATAATAATAATAATAATAATAACAACAACAACAGTAACAATAATCGCATACATAATTATATAACTAATTAAATTATTAATTACCATTCAATAATGATATCATCAGAGATGCCAACCACTACGATTTATCCGTATTTTATACGAATTTCTATTTCTTTTGCATCACTACGACCAGTTTGTATCAAACTACGAATTTCACTGTGATCTAAAAAAAAAATTTGTTTGTTAATTTATTGTCATTATTGACCCTCAGAATGCAGGAAATTGCATCTCAGAATCAAAAAATTTTCCGGGGGGGCATGCCGGACCTCCCTAGCAAACTCAGGTCACTACGTGACCCTCGAACTACTAATTTGATGGCCAGCATGCCGGACCCCCCTAGCAAACTCGAGTCGTTACGTGACTCTCGAACTACTAATTTGATGGCCAGAAACTACAGATTGGTTCAAATATGTGTTGGCATCTCTGTATCATAAATTAAATCATAATTTGTAGGTAATTAATAGCGTAATTTTGTAAGCACGATGTATCACCTGCGCTCGCAGGCACATAAATTAAAAATAAATTATCGGAGACAATAATAATACGTTATAATAATAATAATAATAATAACAATAATATATATGCTCGCTCGCGCGCGCTCTCACGCGTCCCCTCCCCCCGCGTGCTTGCAGACACGTGTCAGATCGTGATGGAGGAGGAGGGAGGAGGAGGAGGGGGAGGAGCGGTAAAGTTCGTCGTGCCGCACCACTACGAGTCGTACATGAAGACGGCGGGGGAGGTCGCGAACCCCGCGCGCGCGCGCCGCCTCGCGCAGGAAGCCGTCACCCTCTCCACGTCGCTGCCTCTCTCCGCAAGCAGCAGCGTGTTCGTACGCTGCGATGAGGAGAGGCTGGACCTCATGAAGGTACGTGGCTGGGGGAGGAGGAGGGAGGAGGAGGAGGAGGAGGAGGAGGAGAGGAGGAAGAGAGAAGGAGGTGTGAGTACAAGCAGCAAAAAGCCGGTTGTACGCGATGCGACTGAGGAGAGGCTGGACCTCAATGAAGGTACGTGCGTGGAGGAAGGAGGAGGAGGAGGGCAGGAGGAGAGGGGGAAGAGGATGAAGTGGCGGTGTAGGGGGCTGGTTAGTGGTAATGGGGATGGAGTGTGGAGTACAAGCAGCAGCGTTGTTTGTACGCGTGATGAGGAGAGGCTCTGGACCTCAGAGTACGTGGCTGGGGGAGGGGGGGAGGCAGGTGGAGGAGAGAGGAGGATGGTGGAGGTGTGAGTACAAGCAGCACGGTTCGTACGCTGCGTATAGGAGAAGCTGGACCCTCATGCAAAGGTACGTGCGGGAGAGGAGTGGAGGGAGGAGGAGGGGAGGGGAAGAGTCGGAGTAGGAAGGAGGAGGGAGGAGAGGGAGGGGGAGGAGGTGGAAAAGGACAGAGGAGGCATGAGGTAGACGAAGAAGGGAAACTGAATAATGCCTGGATATTTACTCGTCAGGAGAATTAGATCTTAAATAGAGAAAGAAATTGGATATCCTAAAATTGAGACGGGTACCAGTTTCTAACGGTAGTCTCTTCATAGGTGGTGCATCCTGCATCAAATCTTACTGTAAGCAATGTCCAACAAAGGGGCTGGCACATAGGAGTAGAGAAGTTTCCGCCGGTGACCGGGGCATGACAGGTGACAGCTAAATGACGAGCGATCCCCATGTCCCACGCATCGTGTCACCTGCTGTGTGCCAGCCTGTCACGCTGTTGTGTGCCACCTGTCACCTGTGTGTGTCAGCGCTGTCAACCTGTGTGTGGTCACCTGTTCACTGTGTGTGTCACCTGTGTGTGTCACCTGTCAGCCTGTGTGGTCACGCTGTCACCAATCGTGTCCATACTGTTGTGCTGCCACCTGTCACCTGGGTGTGGGTTGCGCACTATTCGTCACCTGTGTGTGCCACGTCACCTGTGTGTGTCACCTGTGTGGTCACCGTCCGACCTGTGGTGTGTGTCGACTCTGTCCAATCCAGGTTGGTTGTGATCGATGTCACCTGTCACCTTGTGTGTACCTGTTCACCTGTTGTGTGTCAACCTGTCACTTTGTGCTTGGTAGTGTCACCTAGTCACACTGTGTGTGTCACCTCACCGTGGGTGTGATCCCACTGTCACCAAGATCGTGTCACCATGTGCACCTGTCCCGCTGTGGCTGTGTCCACCTCAGGTGCGGATCACCGACCGCCTCGGAGACGCCGAGCGAACGGATCTTTGAGCTTTGTGACATGTACT